AGAGAGAGAGAGAGAGAGAGAGAGAGAGAGAGAGAGAGAGAGATTGATTTATCTTAAGGAATTGGCTCACCTGATGGTGGGGACAACCAAGTTGGGAATCTGTAGGTCAGGCTGGCTGGCTGGGAACTCAGACAGGAGCTGATGCTGCAGTCCAGAGGCAGAACATCTTTGTGGAGAAACCTGTTTTGCTCTTAAGGCCTTCAATTGATTGTGTGAGACCCACCCATAGTATCGAGGGTAATCTCCATTATTTAAAGTAAACTAATGATAGATGTTAATCACATCTACAACATGCCGCCATGGCAACACCGAGACTGGGGTTTGATTAAATAGCAGGGTACTATCACCTAGCCAAGCTGACACAGAAAACTAAAAGGTCACGCAGTGATACAAGCCGTGGGTTGAGGGAGGGGAGCTTGGGGGACCTGTTTCCCAGTGGGCTGGGGAGGAGGGTGAGTCTGGGCGGTTGGGGTGGGGAGACGCACTGGGGAAAGCCCTGCCCATGACTGAGGCCTTTCGTCCACAGGAGCAGGGTGTGGATTGCACAGGGCAGCAGGAGCCCAGGAGGTCAGGGGGTGACTTCAGCTGGCTCTTTTGAGGTATTTGATAATAAGGGGGGTAAACTGAGGAGCAAGCAGCAAAGGTTTCTTTTTGGTTTGCCCTTTTGTAGGCGAAGGAGAAGAAAGGAACCAGTTGAGAGAGAAAGGATGATGAAGTAGAAAGGAACGAGGGAGGGGCCGATGGTGGGATTTCTCTTTGGACAAGACGGTCTTCTTCCTCAGCCACAGGGCTGTGGAGAAAGCACAGCCTCCATGTGGGCAACCGTGGACATCAGGGCAAGGCTCTGGCTGGAGGGGCCAGGGCGGCCCATGGAGTGTTCTGGAAAAAGGCCCCTTCTACCTTGAATACTTTTCCAAACCCCTCCTCACCTCCTTAGGCTGCCTTCCAGCTGCACCTGGAACTCCGCCCCCATTGTTCTGTGCTCTGGGTTGGGAGGGGGTGTGCAGCTGCCTCCTGCTCCCTCCACTGAGTGCGACGGCACCACTGCTGGCTTCCGCTCTGTCCTCTCTGGTCCTGGACCCTCCTCGTCCTGCTCAGCACTGTTCCCGGGGACTGAAGCCGCTCCTTCTGGTCTCCACGGGTTCCTAGTGGGCAGCACTGGACAACAGGCAGCCCGATTATCAGGAAAGCAGGGCACACCGCACACACCATAACTGGAGGAGTTTTAAAATAGCAAGGGTAATAAGACAAATTCAGGTCTTCCTTACACTTCTTTTGTGGCTATTGATTTTATTTTACCTACGGGAGGGCACCACAATTTTCCCCCCACTTAAGGCCTCCAAAGGCTTAATCCAGCCCAGACCCTCACCCCTTCACATGAGAACTTGCCCGAGCTCAGAGGACAAGGTGGCACGGCCGAGAAACAGGGAGTGCTGCGCAGGAAGGGCAAGCCAGAACACAAAGGGCGTGTGTGCCGCTCGGGCTTTTTTGTGCTGCCTGAAAGTTCAGAGCATGCTGGAACACGGAAAGAAAGGTATTTGCCTGAGTGACTCAGGCATGTTCCAGCATTTTCCCACAGGCTCCCGCACATCCCAAAATAACTGCAAGCCTGGACCTGGTCCCTTGGCACATGATTACATTCGTCTAATGTTACCGGAGAGCGAGCAAACCAGCCACGCTCACAAGGAGCTGCAGGAATACTCAGCCCAGGACGGATACCATGCTGGTGGCTGGGCTGGGAAGGGAAAAAGAGCAGCACAGACAGCACAACAGGAAGAAGTGTGGACTCACCAGAATCATCCAGACCACCGAGAGGGGTTGGGGTCAATGCCTGCCTTTCGCTGATGGGGAGAAAAGGCCCAGGGAGAGGAAAAAACTTGCCCAAACGTACACGTGTGAGGATCACAAGACAAAGTTGGTGGGAGAGCTGGCTCTGAACTTGTCAACTAATATTGACCTTTATTGCTGAATAAACATCAGTTGAGCCTTGGAATAAGATACTGTCAGAGGAACTTTTAGGGCCTCCTGGCCATCCAGGGTGCCCACGTTCCCAGGACTGGACAACAATGTAGGAATAAGGAAGTGTCTGAGGGAACCTGCCCTCAGGGAATTCCCAGTCTTGCTTAGGAAATGACTGAGGCATTAATAGAGTTGGGAAACAGTTGGGGCCTGGCAAATAGACCCAAGGCTGGTGGGTGTTTGGGGAAAGTCAAGTCTGAGAAGGAGGGGACTGTCCAAGTGGGGGAGGTTTCACAAAAAGGTGGGTCTCACAGGGGCCAGCCGAGTGGTTCAGTTGGTTAAGAGCTCGCTCAAGAGTTTGAGCTCTGAGCAACAGCGGTTCGAGTCCCGGCCCGAGCTGAGTAGCCGCTGAGCTGCCAACAGGTGGCAGGATGGCTCAGCTTAAAAAAAAAAATAGGTGGGTCTCAGGGGTGGGCAAGATGATCTGGAAAGGGGGGTAGGGTGTGAGCTCAGACATCAAAGGTGGGAATCGCTGGAGGAGGGATGCGGACATGGAGGTGAAGGAGGGGGTGCTCTAGAAAGCATTGGAAACAAAACCGAGGGGGCTGGGCTGCCAGCATTTGGGCTGCAAGTGACTTTTAATATAGAAGCCACTACCTACTAGTTCCAAGTCACTTGCTTTATCTGGCAGACAGGAATAATCTGATAGGATCTGGACACATTATATAAAAAAAGCAAATGCCTGACCTAGGAAGACATGAGATTCTTCTCAAATGTCTGAGGTACTTAGCTAGTCCTTTCCCTTTGGGCCACCACAGCCCACTTGGTGCTACAATGGTGAGACTAACCAGCACGGCCTTCACTATGTCGTGGGCCTGGGTTCAAATCCTACCCCTGCTCCTGGCTCTGTGGGCGTGAGCACGTCACCTCCTGTGTCCTCACCCAGTACACAAGGATGGTGGCAATAGCTAACGTTTGCCATATGCCAGGCACTGTGCTCACAGCTTCATTTGTCTGAATTCATTTCATCAGTTCTCCCCAATTTTACAACTGAGGAAACCAGGAAAAGGCCATGGAACGTGTCCATTGACCCAGAGCTGTTACATGAAGCTGTGACTTGAACCCAGAAGTTGTGATTCAGGCTTATGTTCTAAACTGTGTTCTTATAAAGGGCATTGGGAGGGTTAAGTAAGCTGAAAGCCCCTGACGCCAGGCAGACGCTCCATGGCTATCAGTCCCCTGACTCCTACAGGGGGCAAGAAGGTTATGTCAGTAAACTTGCAGCCAGCTCTACACTCAGCCTGCTGTCCCCATGCAAGACCCAGGGACCACCAACACAGCTCACCTATCTCCTGCCCCGGTATCCATGTACCATCTAATCTGGATGACTGGATCTGCATTAAAGGACCACCTACTGATGTCCAGTGATAAAAATAGCATCCGTCTAACTCAGCAACCACTCAAGAAGCCTTCATGCTGCGGTCGTCTGAGAATAGATGGCCAAGTCACAAAAAGAGTGGTCATATCCTTTATCTTTGGTTCATTTTAGAAACAGTCCAGTAGGCTTTTTTTTCTTCCTATTTACAAGTTTGCGTTTCTCTAGAATCAGTGGTCTTTAGCAGTCGGCTTATACTCCCCAAATGAGTTCACCCAGGAATGATGTTGGCAGGTTCCCATCGGCATAACTTCAACGTTCCTCAGCAAGCTAAGAGTGGCAAGTACACCAGCGAGTATTTTTGTGTAGCGTCGTCAGGCACCAATATTAAACTCAATACAGTCATGAGGAATTCAGCTCGGGGCTCGTTAAGTCAGCGTGCTCCCTGGGAGTTCCAAGATCTCAGGCCCATCTTTCTCTCCTCATTTTTAGGTTTACTTGGCAAGCAGCTAAGCAACAATCTAGCGCATCTCCACATTCTGGGGCTGTGGTCCTTTCCCAAGCTCATGAGATATTGGCACATAAAGGAGGATTTTCTCCACCCAGTGGCTTCCAAGTGCATCTGATCCCTAAGCCCCGTGGCTTCTAGGAACCCAATCTGGGAAGTTAAACCTGCTTCCACACTGGTTTGTTGACTCAGAGAAGTGTCAGATAAAGATGACCCCAAGACTCTCAGAGAACAGTGTCGCTAACCCTCAGTGACCTGGACTCCAAGGAACACTTTGGCCAGCCTCGGCCACACGGGCAAGTGGTTTCCCTGTGCACCTCTGAACCATCTCAGCACCTTGGTGAGGACTGCGCTGGCCCAAGGCCAGGTGGGCAGGGATGCTGCCCAAGCGGCACCTTGGCTGGGGCAGTCTGGAGGTGCGGCAGGTACATTCCCATTACCTGAGTTCACAGCCCTGAGTGTGCCCAGGGTGCAGTGCCATCTGAGCCTGAAAACTGATGACTCATCTTCTCACGAGCTGGGCCAATAGAGAGGGTGCGAATCCCAGGGCAGGCTTGTAAATGCAGCTGCCTTCTGTTTTGACTGAAGCCAGCAAGACCCAATCTTGATGCTGCCACTCTTCAAAGTTTTACAAACCACAAAAAAACACTGAGTCATATTATGTCTTTATTTTCTTTTTTTAAAATGTAGCATTAAAGTCATCCCACATACAGATATTCCTATGGCTCCGCACACATTTTATTCTATCACAAGTTAGGTGTTTTAGCTATGGGACGAAAATCATCCCATTAAAATGGCAACTTTTCTGAAACGGGGGTTTCATATTTATGTGATGGGAATCGACTCCCCACCTACTCCCCCAAAAAACTCCTTCAGTCCAGAGCTACAGGAAGACAGCTCACAACCATGGCTAACATGGAGCCCACGCAGAGAGAGGGCCCCGAAACAACAAGTGATGGGGTTAAACTTTTGAAGCAAGCGACTTCTTTATTTGTACAGAATAAGGATACTGAGGAAACGCATCATTTTCCTTTTAGCTCTTTTACTGTTTTGCTTCCACCCAGGTTACTGCATACCAAGCGGCTATGAATAGTAAAAACCAACTGATTTAAAGTCCCTGAAATGCATGCAACTTAGAACTCCCTACAGCACACACAATCAGTTCCCAGTCTCCGGGTCTGCTTTTTGTTTCGCGGAAACTATGGCGCTGCTGGGTTGCCAGCTGTGTCTGTTGTACTGCTGCTGGGGTTTGGAGTGGCTGCTGCTTTGGCTTCTGGCTGCTGGGTTTCAGTTTGGGGATCTTCTCCATTTCCGGCACTTTTCTTACTCTTGTCTGCTGCCATGGCTCCCATCTCCATGATTTCCTGCAGTGGCCGATCGCTTTCAAGGGAGCTGGGCTGGAGTTCATAAACCTGGACTTGACCGGGGACATCGACTGCTTTCTGTTCAAGCTTTTCCAAGATGGTCTGGACCTTCCTGACGCCATCTCTCCTGGCCTGACGGACATCAGCACGTCCTTCAGGGTCTACCGAATCCAGGGCCAGAAGCTCTTTGGTCAAATACTCTTCTATCATCAGGTATTTTTTGTCAGTCTTCTTGCCTTCAAAGTTGTCCACAGCCTGCTCCAGCCCTTGCACCTTCTCCAGGATAGCTTCCACTTTTAGCACACCTGGATGTTTTGGGGGTGCCTCAGCTCCGCCTGGCTTTGGGGATGTGACTTCTGCAAGGGAAGGGCTGGGGGCTGCCCTTTCTTCTGTAGCCACATTCTTGGGGGACGAGGGGACAGCAGAAGGGGCAGGGCTTGGAGAGGGACAAGGACCAGGAGCAGAGGGAACCTTTACTTCCACCTTCTCAGAGGGAGGCGGAGGCTTCTGGGAAACAGGTTGAGAATCCACTTCCTTTCGGATCACTTGAATCGGGATTTGTGCAGGAAGATCTGGTCCAACTGCGCTAGGTTTGCTTTCTGGTTTGTTTTCAGGTTGGGGAACAGGTGAAGCTTCTCGATGGGTCATGGGCTGCTGTGAAGAGGCAAGGATACAAAGATATTTTTAATAACTGGTTAAGAGTCACAGAAAGTTGTCTGTAGCTAGTACAGTATTAATTAGAAAGAAAACTGGGAATTTTTTTTTCTTTTTAAGTTTAACAGTATAAAAGAGATTTTCAAAGTGAACCAACAGCTGTTACAAAATAAAAATATATTAATCACGTTCTGTGACCACTCATCACCTTGGTCTACCGGTCTGTTACCTCAATGGATTTCTGTAGATGGCATTCTTAGGGCAAGAAAAACTAATATAATTTTCAAAAATGAAAATATCCAAAACTCCTGCGGACTGCTCAGCTAGTTTAGCTGAAAGCAAAGTCTTGGGTGACTCAGACTCTCAGGTGATACAGCCGTGGAGAAATAATTGCCACTTGTCCCCTCCCTTACGCTGTGTGGACAGCCTCTGTTGAGGGTGTGATCTTCCCAGCTCCTGTTTCAGAAAAGTTATAATTTCTTTTTAAAAAAAAAAAAAACTATAACAGCCTAGTGGTTTCTGTCCACACTGATGTATTTTTTGAGAATAAGCAAGATGCCCCAAACAGTTACCCCTGTAAGAATTCTGCTGGGCACACTTGGGCTGGAGCTACCACTCAGCCGTGCATCTCTGCACTGACTTCTGCACAGGCTGAGATACTCTTTAATGGGGCTAGAAGATAGAGCCATATTTTTTAAAAATGAGCTATGCTTAAAACCAAAATATCTCAGCTCTTTTACATTTAGGTGAATGTCTAAAACCCCTTAAAAATCTCACACACCCTAATTTCATCAACTGGGAAATAAGAATTGGACTACATTATTTTTAAGTATTCCCAATTTAAAATACTAAATTCCTCTATAATGTTCAGTTAGGTCCTATTCTTGCAAGCCTCCAAAAAGGAATCTTCGAACAAGCTATAAAAGGGAGATCATCACAAACAAAGTTAAGGGAAGTGGAGACAATATTGTTTCACGGATTATGGGAAACATTTGGGAAAGATATGAGAGGAAACATCGCTAGCTCTGCAAATGGGCACCACTTTCCTGGGATAACTGAGCCCAAGGAAGGACCTGGAGGACATTTAGCTGTAACCTCCTTTTCTACCAAATCTCTTTTTCCGACCCAGACATCCTCAACTTTGGCCCTTACCACTCAGGAACCAGCCACAAGACCCTCTTTGGGTTTTAAAACAATGGAGGGTAAAAAGGGACTTTAGAAATACTTAAGAGGAGGCACTCGATGGCTGTACTTTTTTAAAATGTCAAGGTTATGAAAGCAAAGCAAGGCCGCCAAAGAACTATTCCAGATTAAAGGAGACTAAGGAAACGACCTCTAAATGCAGTGCTCATGGTCCAGGATTAGATCCCGGAACGGGGAAATGATTTAAAGGAGATGTGAGAATGGGCTGTGTAGTAAATAACGTAAGAATGTTATATTTCCTAAATCTGATAATTCTACTGTAGTTACAAATGAGAAGGTCTTTCTCTTAGGAAAATATTTACTGAAGTAGTTAGGGTCTGGTAAAGGGGCATGATATCTACAATTAAATGTCAAACAATTAAAGCACATAGATAACATATATAGAGAGAAGAAATGACAAAGCAAATGTAACAAAATGTTAACAGTGAATATGGATGAAGGGTATACTGGACTTTTCTGTGTGATTCTTTTTACTTCTCTTAAGGCTGAAATTAATTTACAAACAAAAAAAGTTAAAAAAACCAACAAAACAATAAAAGGAGAGTGCTCTGTTACAGGGCTCTAGACAGTGTCACCATCTGTAGTAAAAAGACACCCTGCATTTGTTCACAGGAGACTTCCTTCTAAAAGCCATGGCAGAGAATTAATTCAGCCGCTCAAGTCGCAGCCAGAGGGGGCCCGGGGCTGCTGAAGGCTCTGCGGCTGAGCTACGAGCTGCTGCAGCTACACGTCCTCCTCCTCCAGGAACCAGCGCCCCCAGTCTGCACTGAAGGATGAGCAGGCCCTGCCTGGCGCTCTCACCAGGCTGGGGGCTTCCACCCAGCCAGCCGGCCCGCTCCCCAGCCAGGCACCAGGGTCCTCCACCAGGCTGGGGGCGTCCACCCAGCCAGCCGGCCCGCTCCCCAGCCAGGCACCAGGGTCCTCCACCACAGAGGAGGAGAAAAGCGGAAGGCACAGCGCCTGCCTATCGTTGAGCTCAGAGCCGAGCTGAAGAGGCAAGAAGAGGACTTTGAAATGCACAGAACGATCACAGGCTGAACTAAGGGCCTCACAGGCGCCTGAGAAAGACCAGTGGGATCCACAGAAGAGGCGAGGCTGCCTGTTGAAGGGGCAGAACTTGGGTTGTGAAGGCATTTCGGGGAGCAGGTTCAGCACGAGCAAAGGCACAGAGGGGGGGAATGACAGAATGGGCTTGAGAGTGGAGAGGGGGCATCAGGGAGGAGGGAGACAAGCTGCCTGGAAGACTGGAGACAAGGCTGTGGCTGGGGTGTGGACGGGCTACGAAGGGCCCTGCAAGGTGGGCGCTAAGACACCGAGGCTCTAGGTGTGCGAGCAATGCTCCCTTCTGCCCAGCTGTTTCCCATCGTGGTGGCTGGAGCCTGCCCCTATGGCAGCTGCAGTGAAAAATGAGCACAAGCTGCAGAAAGGGCTGAGGGTTTACAGCCAGCCCTGGTCCTGGTCCTGCACATCTGCCACCGACCAGTCATGTCCAGGAGGTCCCTCTCCCCCAGTTACACGTATGTCGTCTAGGAGGGCTGAGGGGGGCAGCTGGGGTACTTGCACAGAGCTCCTCAGCCCACAAAGAGATGCTGCCATAGCCAGTCTGCCGACACCAACCCTCATACCTGAGGCCTGTCGACCACGGTGTGCACACGCCGGGGCGAGGGGGAGTGCACCGGTGTGCTGCTTCTGGCTGGAGAGACGTCCCGGCTGGACGCACCCAGGACGGGCGGCCGGAACGGGGATGCTGCCCGCAGGGGCTCCCAGTCGTCCCCTTGGATCTTGTGGTACACAGGCTGGTGGGTCTGGTATTCACCCTGCTGAGCTGGGTAGTGGGTCTTCTGGGCTTGGTGGAAGGAGGGCTGGGCTGCCGGCCGGCTGACATTCTGCTCATGTATCACAGGGATGGGGATGTAGCCCCGCGGGAGCTGGTGACTGCCCAGGCTGCTCCTGCCAGAGGAGGGCAGGCTGGCAGAGGAGGACGAGGACGAGCAGTCGGAAGCAGCTGGAGACTGGGATCGCTGCAAGACACAAAGGGGAGAGGCACGGCCCATGAACGACCCTCTGCCCGGCACTCCGACCGGCCCGTCATGTGCCTGCTCGGAACAACAGGTTTCATAGGACCGCCCATCTGTGTTTCTGCTTGCAAACTGCAGTGTTAGGACTGGGAGCTGTGCAGTCAAGAGGCCTGAGTTCAAATTCTCAACAGCTTTCTGAGCCTCATCCAAAACGTGGGAAAACGTACCCTCCCCTCACCGGGCTCACCTGAAGGTTAAGTAAAATAATCGAGTACGTACTTTAGCATAAGGGCCACAAACAAGAAGTGCTCAATACATTGCATTTGTTGTCCCTACACGTCACTTTGTTTCCTTTTGCCTTAACCCTTTCCCTGCTAATGTACAGAGAACTCAAGTCAGCCCGGCACTAGGAGCTGCGTCTCCTATGTGGCCTGAGGCAGGCCAGGCCCCTTTCCCTTCTGCACCACCTTCTATCCACCTAGAAAATAGGACTGGCGTTTCCCCAGCTGGCTTCTAAGGGCCCTGCTCGCTCAAATTTGTTAAAATTTCTCTAATATGTCACATTTGATTTTTAAAACAAAAAAATCATTCCAAGTATAGGTACTGCTTCTCCAAGGAAGGCCAAGAGCCTCCTGGTGTCCACATTAACTATGATTTTTTTTTTTTGCCCCCAAGCAGACAGTGAAGCCACACGTCCACGGCAGAGCCCAGGGAGGCAACCCCAAGCCTGGACGCACACAGGGAGCAACAATGGGTGCTCACGAGCTGTGCCAATGGGCACGACAGGATGGTGTGCAGGCAGGAAACCCAGGGGGGCTCACTGCTCAGGAATCCTACTGGGGTCTCCTGGCCCTTGAACCGCAGCTAAGGACCAGATTAGGGACTATTCTTTAGACGCTGGCGCCCTGCAGTGTTGGCTTCAGGCTACAAACCCTGTCATAAAGCAGCTACCTTCCTGACTCCCTTGTTTTGGACTTCCGTTTAGACTGTGGGACACTGTGAGGGCAGGTATGCTGCCTTGTTTTCATATCAATATAGCTCCAAGCAGTTAATACTTATCTATAAAAGCTGAACTTACGGAAACAGCCCAGTGTCTGTATTTCTGAAATAGAAAGCCTGGTGGGAGTAAGGAGCATCAGGTTAGGGGCCAGAGGCCGAGCTTCTCGTCCCAGGGATGATGCCACTCCCCCTTTGTGCATTTGGACCAAGCCGTTTACCTTTCTGAGTCCCAATTCCTTAACTACAAAAATAAGCCACGACCCATGCCCACCTGAAAAACACCTGTGGAACGCTGGGAGACAACGTGGGGCTGTCAAGCTGTCTTTGCTGGGTGACCCCTGATGCTGCAGGCCAGGCCCAGATGCCCTGCGTGTGTCAGGTGCCTGGCCCAGGGCGCTGGCCACAGGGTCTGGGGCCAGCCTAAGCAGCAAGCAGCTTGAGCTCCCAGGTCACACCCACAGGCCTCGCCTTACCTCGGGTCTGTGGGAGGCAGGGGGCTGGGCTGCCACAGCTGCTACCGCCTGTCCACACTGTTTATCTGGCTGGCTGGCTTCCGGGACACCCCGAAGAGGTGACTGGGATCTCTGAGGAGCCGTTGCAGCTGCCTCGGTTCGGAATCGTTGCGTCCCAGGCTGGGGAGAGGCAAAAACAGGGTGCGGCTGCCGGCTCTCGAAGCCTTCATGGAGGACGGGGATGGGGATGTAGCCTGGTCGGAGCTGTGGGTACACAGCGTGGCTTTCCCGTGTGGGCAGCGGCCTGGAGCCCTCCCGGGAAGGGCCATTGGCAGAGGATGGCGTTTCCTAAAATAAAAAGAGGAGAAACACAGACCCGTTAGACTGGGAAGGTAACGCCTCTGAAGAGGAAACAGCACGGTGCTGAGCGCTCCGATCATCTTCCAGGGTGATTCTGGGCCCTGGGTCGGCCAGCACGGCTGAGCAGAGAGCACGGCTGCTACCCGGCTTCTGCCAGACACGCCTCCCCTACTGAGGCTGCTGTCTGGCCAGCAGTTTAAGCATTAGGGGCCTCAAGAAAAAGGTGAGCCAAGGTATCTGTCGAGCACGAGAGGCCTCACTCTCCCTCACCGATAAGACAGGGTTTATTTCTGGATGACAGGCGGGCAGCAGTATTTGTAGGAGAGCCACTACTGTCTCCCAAATCCTCAGACCCAGATCAGGAGATGCGAGGAGGGTTCAATTCCAACTCGCTAAATTATCGCCAGCTTCTCCGCTTCCTAAAAGGTCCTCCTGTTTCCTAACAATCCAGAGTTTTGCTGGCCCCAAACCGTGGAAATCTTTGCAGAGAAGGGGCGTCGGGAACATTTTCGGAACAAGCTACAAGAAAGGGAGACACATGAAAGCAGCACAGAATGAGAGTAAAACCTGGGGATTAATCGTGCTGGATTTCTGATGCCAACAAAGCCTGCTTGGTGAGGAGCGGCTAGGGTCCCTCTGTGTCCTCTCATGAAGTGCTCCCTTCAGTGGCCTGGCTATTTTGGGACCCTTGAGAAGGCCAAGTTCCAGATGTACCACAGAGACAGATCTTGTTTCAGATGACAAGGCTGGCCAGTCACTTGCCGGGCAATGTCATTTCTCACCAAGCAGAGGCTGGGCAACTAAAGCCAGGCCCTCCAAACCCCCGCCGCCCAGGCTTTCAGTCCTGACCATCTCCTGAGGGTCCTTTTACAGAGGAGGGGACTGTGGATTTATGTCACTTACGAACATCCCAGTAGATCAGCTTAATAGAAGGAGAGTGATCCCTCCTTATGGAGGCATTTTTCTGAGCTGCGAACAAATGCCAAAGGCTAAGGAGCTTGCAGGGTGGAATTCCCACTGCTGCAAACTCAGTCACCAGTAAGGGAAACCAAGGGCTGATTTGCATTGAGTGATGGACCACTGTAATTTTGCCTTGCTTCTAGATTTGTGTGCACCAGGTGGCTCATCCTGCAATTTAGCCCTTTCAGACCCATCAGCTGCTTCCGTCCTGCTGGGCCCCTGGCCAGAGGGCCTCCAACACACAGGAGGCAACGGTGTTGCCGTGTCCTTGGGGACACCAACAAACAGGCACTCTCAGATTAGAATGCCCACGTGCTCAGGGCGGCTGCATTATTTTAGCCTGCTCGACTCTCAGGTCACCCAAGAGCAGGGAGTGGGTCCAAGCCTCACATTGAGAACCGAATTCCTGCTGTGAGACAGGCACCAAAAGGCACCAAGAGAGGCACTGAAGAAACTCTGTCATACTCGGTGCTGATACCGGAACACAGCACCAGGGCATCTTATCCATTCACTGTGCACCCGTCCTCCAGGCTCACACAGGGGCCGGACTTGTCCTGGGACGTTGTCTCTGCTGGCTTCCCAGGGTGCTGCCTCCTCCCAGTCACACAAAAGCCACACACCATCTGCACACTCCACGGAGCTGAGCAGTTAGCAAGCCCTCACCCATTGACTAGCTCCTGACAAACGTCCCACTACTGAGGTGCTGGGTACCACGGGGTGACCAAACCCACAAGCATGATCCCTGCCAACTAGGGACTTATACAAGACAGTTGAAGGCTGCATGAAACAAACAGGAAGCAGAACTGCCGGAAAGCATGGGGGGGGTCCTGCAGATGGGGGAAATGCATGGGTTTTTCCAGCTAGATAGGCTGCAAGTTCATTCTGACCTCCATCAGTAACAGAATTATTCCGGAACAATTCTCTTAACCTCTGTGAGCCTTAGTCCCTTTATCCAGAAAATGGAGCTACCAATGCCCACCTCACAGACTGCCGTGAGGTTTTATGAGAACACAAGGATGCCCAGAAGGCTGAAACGCTTGTGCGTTCTCTCCCTAAACAGGCATGTGATTATGCTCTCAGGCACCAAAGTGTCAAAGCGATCAAAACTGAAGGAACAAAGTTAACCAATGGTGGCAGGAGTCAGAATGGTGGCTACCCCTGAAGGAAATGGAAGGGTCTTGAAAGAACCTTCTGAGGGGATGGACATTTTCTCCATCTTTTTTCTGGGTAGTGGGAAATGGGTGTGTATACCTGTGTACAAATCCGTCCAACTCTGAACTTCTCTGGAACCCCCCACTGCCCATGCCCTGCCACATTCCACCAGTACTATCCGGTTTTCACAGGTGAGCGCTGCCAACCCCTCCATCCCCACACAGCCAGCTGTGAGCTGTGCCTCCAACTCAGACCCTTCCAGGGCCTGGAAACCTTAGATAGGCCTGGCGGAGGCTCGGCTCTCCTCGGGGAAGCCCCTGAATCCAGAAGGCACTGCAGCTGGCCTGCCAAGAGTTGTGCATTTTATCAATCTCACTAAATATATTTTGTACTTCAATTAAAGGAAGGAAGAGGAAGGAGGGAAGGAAGGAGGGTGGAAGGAAGACTAAGTCGGCCTGCCAGAGGGACTTGTGACAGCAGAGACCGCTTCCTGGAGCCAATATTCGACCTGGGTCTGGGAAGAAGTGCCGCGTTGGGTCAGTGGAGGAAAGCATGTGGTCACTACAGGCAGGGGGAGGGGGTGGTGTCGGAGTAGCAGTGGGAAAGCTGGGAAAGCGGGTGGAGATGGAAGGTAAGTGCTGAGCGGAAGAAGGTCAATGAGGCTGGAGGCCCAGGGGGCCGAGCTGCAAGTGAGGCCCCACATCCACTCTCCTGCGAGCTGCTGACAAGACGCCTCACCAAGGCTGGAAGAACCGAAAGGAGAAAGGGCATGTCAGGAAACAAGAGAAGCCAGGATGAGAGTGCAGAAACGAGGGCGAAGCAGGGGACAGAGCAGAGAAAGGAAGGGTGACCCAGGAGGAGCAGGCATGAAAAGGCCGCTGTGGCTGACAGGGCAGGAGGCCAAGACTCGAGTTCTGAGTTTGGGGTTAACTGAAAAACGGAGCTGGCAGCTGGCACAAGGTGGAAGGCAGGGAGGGTAAGGGCGCCTGGAGGCCACTTCTCCTACAGCCCTGAGGTCTGCACTCCTGGTTCCCTGTGAATTAATACCCCATTTATGCAACTTAATAAAAAACCACACACCTCTTCATAAGCCTCACATCTAAAAGGCAGCAGGCTCCCCTTCCAGTCTGGTGGGGTTTTGTTTAGAAAAACACTGCTTTAGGTAAAAGACCCCACCAGTTTTACAGAATAGACAACTAAACACTTCTACAGGAACAAATAATTTAAACCAAAAATGAAACTCCCACCCATAATAATGTCTGTACCAGGAATTCTGACACTACCTTCGAATGTTTCTACGCTGCTATATCATCAGAAACCTGTCAACAGAAAATGCTTCCATTTTTACTAAAAAGCACCATCCAAAAGAGTTCAATTAAATTGCCCTTTCTATCTTCTATGGTGTTTTCATCAAAATGTAGTAAAATGAGGTATAATTTTTTTAATGAAAAATTTAAAAGTGTGTAATATTTATGATCCTCCTGGAATATGACCAGAACGTATCTGTCCCTTTTGTCCCATAAGAATTGTTCTCAAGTTCAAACCCAAGTCCAGAAAAAGCCTATCGGTTACACCAGCGTGTTTCACAGAAGACTCATAATCTGCTGCCCCCACTCTGACTTCAATGGGGACCCCATCTTCTTTGGGTTATTCTGTGATTACGTGATAGGGACTAGGCACAATCAGTGACCAAGCAGACAACTGCTAATCCTCGCCTCATCACGGCGTGCCTGTAGCGTCGTAAGGAATTCTTTTCCAGTGCACCACAGCTCACTATCCTTATCTTTGGCAGAAGACATCAGGAACACCTACATACAAAACCTAAGTGGGAAATGGCTCGCACCCTGACTTCACTGCTTATCTCACGCCATAAATTTATAAAGCGAATTGGTTAATTCTTCTCCCTTGTTTGTGCACCATATTAAAATCCTGAGGCGTGTCTCAGAGGGCACTAAACAACTCCATGAGATAGCCAGGATAAGAAGCAGGAAAAATTACCCCAGATGAGCCAAAACTTGCCCTACTAAGTGCAAGATATTATTATTAGACAAGTCTGGGGTCAGGTTCTGAGCTGGGTGAGCCCTTGGGTTGACACAGGTCCTATTTGCTTAACAGCACATCTAAACTTCACTGCTGGTTTTAATGACAATGTGGGTGCTAAGTGGACAGCTGGGGACATGGAAAGAGGCTGTGCTTGGTTCTAATCCTGACTCTGCTGCGTAAGCAGCTCACATCCTCTCTCTGGACCTCAGTTTCCTCGGCTGTAAAATGAAGGGGAGGCCCAGACATTTCGTTAAGCGGTGGTTCCCAAACTCGAGGGGGCATCAGGAAAACCCAGGAAATGGAAAAAAACAGACTTTCTGCACAACCCCTACAAAGTCTGATTCAATAGGTGTGTGGGAAGACGAGCCAGGGCTGCACTGAGAAACACTGATCTAAATAAAGCTCCTTTCAGCTCTGACAGGCTCCGTGGCCTCAGATTGCCAAGGTCCCTTCTAGCTCTAAACACCTACATAAAGCTCCAAAACAAGGAAAAGTTGATGTCGTGGAAATCTAAAGGACCACTTCCAACTGCACTCAGTTAAATCACATCAGAAGTCTCTGGAACTCAAGGTGCCCCAAACTTGCACATACCAAACGAGCGAGGAGGGAGCTGCCGACCCCCCAAAGGACTCCTGTGCCTCAGAAGCTGGGCAGAACAGAGCTTCTGGGACACCTGCAAGGTGTGTGTCAGCCACGGTGTTGGAGTGTCGCACATGCATGGCCTCAGCGGCCTGGGGGCAGCCAGGGAGCAAGCAGGGCGTGCCTCGAGCCATCCACAGGCAATTCCCTGTACAGACTGGCTTCTGAACCCTAAGAACAGCCCCGCGGTAAGC